GCTTCCTTCAGACGGTCAAACTGCTGTTATTTGTAAAGGTCTAAATTAAGAATTCGGTTATTGCGGAGCAGCGCATAGTGGATGATGCCTTGCGGATATTACCAAACACACAATAAAGTATTCCTGGCTATCAATCCTGGCTTTTACACCATTTTTGTCAGCTTTCTGCTCTTCGGCCACTATCGTCCTTGTTTGGCGTTGCTGAACTGCTTCAGGAATGGAACCATTTTGTTACAATCCAGCAACGATTCGCAGATGGCAATACGTGTGACACCCATTTATCGAGCTTCTTTGTGTAGCCAGCCCTTTTTGAGGGGATCCAAACTGCTTTTAGTACAGTGAACCACACCATTGACTGCAACAGGATCAAAACCATCAATTTGCTTCACTTTTTCCGCTGCCTCACTTGCGTATTTACCTTTCTTGAAGAATGTAGTGTACTTGCTCTTTGCTGCTGCTCATTTTTGGCAAGAGCTCTGACTGACTGAGTTGAATGATCAACACTGCTCCTTTTTTTAGTACAAATAACAGAATTTTCCATTTAAAAAAATTACATTTATTGCATTAAAGAAGAAGATTCGCCATTAATAATGAAATATAATATCAGTTGAATTGCCACCATGGCCAAGAACCGTATCCTTTTATGTAATTTCCTATCATCAAATCGCATAGTGGCTGCTTGCTGTAGCTCCCAACAGCGTCATGAATTCCATCTTCAATTTCTTGTACCGACGTTGGCCTGTTGCCGTAGAACCTATCCCTCACGTTGTTTCTAAAGGAAAAAGTCTGAAAGTGTTAATCACAAAACTTCCGTTGCCAATTGCGTTCAACTCCACGGTCCGGAAACCTTACGCTTTAAAAGATCGATGGTTTCATTGCTTGTCTAGCACGTAGCGTCATCTTGTTGACAGGAAACGTTGCCCATTTCCGGCCATAACAAATCATTAATCATCTCTCGATAGTGCAATTCATTCACTGCTTCAATCTCATTTTCGAAAATAAACGTCCAATGACACCGTCGGACCATAAAATTCAGCAAAAACTTATACGTTGAGGATGGAGCGGAATTTCTACAAATAAATCTTTGGTTTTCCGAGCTGCCGATGGTACAGTTTTGCTTATAGACGTAGCTATCGAGGTGGAAATGGACCTCATCAGTCAGGCTGATTTTTCAACGAAATTTTGACAGTGAATTTGAATCATTTCGTTACGTTTTTGAAGCGTATGTCGTTCCATTTTTATTACTGGCGTAGTTTTTACTTGTCAAATGTCAAAAGATTACAACTTAAAAGTAACATCTACCGGATTGCCAAGCAAGCTAAGAATAACACCTTCTATTGGAAACCCCTTTATCATATAATATATCTAACGATATCATGCGTAATCCAATCGCACTTATATTTAGGACGCCATTTCTGGCATAATTATTTTTTTTTTTTTTTGATTTTACTAGACCTAATATTGTATTTGTGGAAAACTGTGGAGTCTTAGGGATCGAAATTGGATATCCGTAATTTTTTTCATTTCATTGGGTGATGAGTCCTCAAAAATTTATGTTTTAACTTAATATTTATGCATATTTCTAAACTTGTTCACAATAAACTCATTGAAAACCACTGATTTCAGTTAATTTGTTTATTAAAAATTACAAAAACATTTGCACAACACAAATTGGAGGAGGATCCAGGCCAGAAATCGCCACAGCGGTTACAAAACGCCAATTATATAATCAAAATTGAATAACGGTATCAGCGATAACGGAGCTTAGTAGCGGCAGTCCGTTTTATCACATATCAATCAACATGTTTGGAAAAAAATATATAGATTTGTAAATTTTCTATAAATATTCGCAATAACTTGCCAACATCTGTTGTTTTCTATGCATTCCTATGGTCGTTGTTGTTTTTTCGCTTTCATTTGCAATCATTTACAACAATTAAGCGAATTGATAGTTTCAATTGAACTTGTTTGTTTACATGATTTCAAGCGAGTGGGTTTTGCGCCGATAAGGCACTTAATGGCAATAACAATAACAGCAATACTGTGCATGTGCATGTGTTGGTGTATTTGTGTGTGTGTGTGCGAGTGCACTGCAATTTTAAATTGACAAAATAAAAATTTATTGATTTTATTACAAAATCACTCGACAACAGTGTAGTTGCACACACACACATACAGAGACAGATGCAGTTACATGCGAGATGACCACCCACAACCCCAACAGATGTGTCGGTGCGTGCGTGTTTTGCACGATTTGCAATCGTATCCGGGTCAATTACACAGTGCAGTCAGTAACCGTAGACTTGGTTAGTTTCCATTAAGTGTCTGTAAATTTCCATCAACTTGAGTACACACGGCTATGGAAGTGCAAATAAGCGAGTTTGAGTTGTGTGTGTGTGTGTGTGTGTGTGATATTAGCTCAGCGGCAATTAAGTGATTGCAGGATGTCTTACTTTTCACTTTAATATTTTTTCATAAATGAAATTTACTAACAATATCGTTACCGTTTATTTATCTTATTTTTTTTGAATTGCATTTAAATTGTTGGTTCCTTTCAAATGCTATTTTATTCTTAATTAATTTTTTAATTTTTTGGTCAAACAAATATTTTTTTTTTCGTTTTTTTTTCAATAATATTGAATTGAAATTTCAATAAAACTAATTAACTGTTTTTTTTTCAATCTTCTTGGTCAAGGGTTTTTTTTTTAATTTAACTTAATTTATTTTTAGTTCTTCTGATTGCTTTTAAATTTTTTAATTCTTTCATATATAACATTAATTCCCTGTTTTATTTCTTTTAATTATATTTAAATTTTTTGCCAATTATTTTTCTATTTTCTTAATAGTTTTGAAATGAAATTGACTATAGGTAAAATCATCTATGTATGTACATACATATATTTCTTAATAAAATTAATATTTTAATATTTTTTTTTAATATTTTTTTTATTACAATTTATTCAGCAACAGCTTCTAAGAAAAATGAAAATATTTGAAGTCAAAAATTAAAGTAACATAAAAACAAGTTGAAAATAACAATACACAATATTTTTTAATATAAATTATAATTAATATAAAACAATATTTGCGTAATTTTATTTTAGATATTAGAAACTTTTATTTATTTATTTTTTTGATTTCTTGAAAATAAATATTTTTAATAATATTTATTTTAATTTTTTTTCTTTAAATATTCAAATTTTTAATATAAGGTCTAGTAAGAAATAATCCAAGTCCTATTGGATTGCCCTAGAAGACATTAGAAGAATGACACTTTGTAGTGCTACAAAAGATAAAGGGAGAAGTTTACTATCAGGTGGATGCATAATAACCTCCCAACCAAGCACTTGGCGCTTGTATCAAATCACTGTCGATGTGTGTTGCGTGGCGTTGTACTAATAAAAAAAATATTCACCCCTGTTGGTCAAAGCTGGGGGCTACTGGCCGATTGCTTCCTTCGGACGACCCAATTGCTGGTAGTGCAGACCTGAATTAAGAGTTCGGCTGAAGAGAAGCAGATCATATTGGAACCTTCCTGGCCATCAATCCCGGCTAGAGGAAAATCGGACTTAAGAGAAGCCTGTTAAAATTGACTGTGCCAATTTTTTCCCAAAGTCTAGTCTAAAGTTTCTTCGGGAGAGGCATAAAGATATTATCTCCTATTTTTTTTTGAATTTACTTTTATTAATTTTTTTATAATACCAAATATATGTATGTATTTAAATTGAAGAACAACAAAATAGCTTTTAATATTATATAAATATAATATATTGTATTTCTTTTTTAATTGATTATTTTTTGTAATTTCAAATAAAAATAAAAATTTAAATCTATTTGTTTCTGTTATTTTGGAATTTAATTAATTAATTTTTTTTTTAATTATTTAGTATTATTAATTTTAATCTCTCGTTTTCAGCGTTGGTTAACTTCTTACCAATGGTAAGTTTGAGGACAACCCGCACACCAACCTCACGAACTTCACTCTAAGCTTGGCTGGTAAGTCAGCGGGTGGGCATTGAACAGATGATCGCTGCAACCGTTCCAGCTGGGTAAAACCAGAAACTGGATTAAAGAGACCTGCCTCAGCAGCCAAGCCGCTTTAGCGACTTCGCCAGAGAAAATCTACAATCACTTAGTATACATCAATGCCATTTCTCTACTGATAAGCCAGAAATAAATGGGCTCTAAATGGTGCATGGTGGAGGTAAATTTGGTCTGATGTGGTAGTGTCGACTTCAAATCGTAGCTGAACCTGCAAAGAATAACTCATCGTGTGCAGATTTTTTTTAAGAATTTCTTCTAAATTTTCAGCCTTTGAAACTAATTTTTACACTTTTAAAATTTTGAAAATTTTTAAAATATTATTTTTTTAATTTTTTCCACATTTTTAAATTCATTACTTTTTATACTTAATTCTAGTCTTTTTCTAACGAATTTTTATTTTCAATATTCTATTATTCGATACATCATATTTATTTTATTATTTTTTTCTTAATAATTTTTTTCCTCAATTTTAATATTTTTTAACAATTTTGATTTTATTAACAACCGTGTGATAAGATGACAAAGCTTGCGCAATCCCTGCCTCTCACTGCACCCCAAATACATAACGATGTTTTAAACGCGATCTATACATACATACACAACCGCTATGCTTATACCTGCGCTGCATAACGCTCGCACACGCATGCACCCGACAGCAGTAGCAAAGCGCGCGCTGCCTGCGCCGCTGGCTTGAGTCTAACTCAAGGCGAGCTTCAACCGAGCCGATGACAGTGCAGCGAGCGTCAGCTGCGCTTCTGCACTTTTTATTGGTTTCTCTCACCTACACGAGGTTAATCTCTGGGTTAGCGCACAAAAGCCTTGAACGCAGGCTGGTGATAAGCACATGCAGTCGCTGCAAGCTGCCATCTCAGTGCACTTGCAAAGCTTCGCTAGCCAAGCGCCATTGAACGCGACTCGCACCACCGAGGGTGTATAAAAACCCCCATCGGCCGGCTTAAAAGTGTGATTTCGCAAAATGAAGTCCTACACTTTGGTTGCACTTGCGGCACTGGCGCTATTCGCCACAGTCACGTCGAAGAACATCGAATCCAAGACTGCCGATCAGGACTTCCTAGTCAAGCAAAAGTTTATTTTGGAAATCTTGCAGCACGTCTACCAAGATGATGTTTTGGTGGTGAAGTACGACTCGAGCTACTATGAGTACAAACCCTGGGAACATGTTGCTGACTATCACAAACACGAACTGTTGGAGAAATTCTTCGAGCTGTGGCAGCACAAGCCCATGTATGATGATGAGATCTTCAGCATCATGTACGAACGTCATGTCGAATATGCTGTCGGTTTAACGCGTTTGTTCTACTTCGCCAAGGATTGGACCACCTTCACACACGCTGTCTTCTGGGCTCGCCAACATGTCAACAAGCAGCTGTTTATCTACGCTTTGACCGTTGCCGGTTTGCACCGCGCCGATATGCAAGGTATTGTCTACCCAGCCATCTATGAAATTCATCCATGGAGCTTCTTCGATGTGGAGACCATTGAGGTGGCTGAACGCTACAGAATGCACAATTTCCATCAGGTTAAGAAATTGGATAACATCTACAACGTTGCTATCAAGACGAACTACAGCAATGTGCATGGTAACTTGCATCATGAGCACGAGCTCGCCTACTTCCTGGAGGATGTTGGTTTGAATGCCTTCTATTACTACTACAATTTGGATTATCCCTTCTGGACCAAGGGTGTTGAGGGTAAAGAATTGAACAAGGATCGTCGTGGTGAGTTCTGGATCTACACACACTGGCAGTTGTTGACGCGTTACTATTTGGAGCGTTTGTCTCATAATATGGGTGATGTCGAGGTTTTCGATATGTTCGAGGCTGTGGAGCACGGCTACTACAGCGGCTTGCGCTACTACAATGGCGTGAACTTCCCCAACCGCGATGACGGTTACAGCTTCTATCGTCCCGATAATGTCGAGTACACACGTCTTATTGTTATGCTTAACAGTCGCATCATGGACTTCGTGCACAAAGAACACAAAGATGACATCAAGGCCGTCAATGAATTGGGCAATATTTTGCAAGGCAATGTCGACAGTGTTGACAGAAAATACTACGACAGCATTAGCAAGTACTACCGTTATATTGTAAACGAAGGCATTCCTTACGGTAAATACCAGGAGACACTGCCCACAACCTTCATGCACTACGAAACCGCCATACGCGATCCACTATTCTTCCAAATCATCAAACAGGTCATTCACTACTACTGGCATTTGGCTGAGGTCTTCCCCGAATATACCGTTAAGGACTACGTTTTCGAAGGTGTCAAGATTGACAAAGTAGAAATGCCCGATCACTTGACCACCTACTTTGAATACTTTGACGCCGACATCAGCAACGCTGTGAATGTTGAAATACCCGCCGAGAGCAGTGCTGATCCTCTGGTCAACTTTGGACGCAACTCGCAACACGATGGCAACAGTTTCGTGATCAAGGCACGTCAATACCGTTTGAATCACAAACCCTTCCAATTCAAATTGGATGTCACTTCAGACAAGGCACAAAAGGCAATCGTCAAGGTATACATTGGACCACAACAGATTGGTGACAAATATAACTACATCGAAAAGAACTACATGAACTTCTTCGAATTGGAACACATTGTTGTCGATTTGGTTGCTGGCGCTAATGTGATTACACGCAATTCCGACGACTTCTCGTGGTGGATAGAGGACAGAACTACCTACTTGGAGTTGTACAAGAAGGTAATGGATGCCACCAACTCAGACTACAAATTCGCTTTGAACCAGAGGGAAGCTCATTGCGGTGTGCCACAACGTTTGATGTTGCCCATCGGCAAGAAGGGCGGTATGCCATACCAATTCTTCTTCATGGTCTACCCATTCCATGAGCCAGCTGTGAAACAATTCAGCACTTATGATCCTGTCATTTCTTGCGGTATTGGTTCGGGCGCACGCTGGGGGGACTCGCTGCCTTTCGGTTTCCCCTTCAACCGTCCAGTCAAGCATGGTTACTACTTCGATGTGGACAACTTCCACTTCGAACCGGTGGTAATCTACCACAAAGAGGATGCCGTTAATGTCGTTTAAGTACATATATACACATATACAGATATTTGACATTATTTTCATAAACTTTTTTATTATAACAATCTTTGCAGTCACTTCAAGTTAATGTGTTCCTTAGTATCAAGCTGTATTTAGCGAAATAAACGATTTTAAGATTTTAAAAACGATTTGATGGAGTCTTTTATTTGAAATTTGTATTAACAAAAGTAATGAGAAAAATTCTTCAACAAAACCAGTGGGTTTTATTTAAATGAATAGGACAAATATGTCTCAGGTTCGCTTTCCGAATATTCTTCCCACATCAGATACATATACCGGTCATATGCAACCCACACCCTTCATATTTCAAGACTCTATAATCAGTCTGGTAACCCTGTGAAATTGAAATTCCCTCTATCTTCTTCCGGCATCTTTCTCCTCCCCTTTGATAGATTTGTCATCGCTATAGCTTATTTAGTTTGTCTGCTTACATGCGATGAGAGCTGTTGCGTGCTGCGTGAGAACTCGCATCGTCGTGGTGAAGAGTGGTCCGTCATCGGCGGTGGAGTGTTTCATGATTTCTTGAAAGATAACTGGCAATGATTGGGCACTGCTCAAAATTTGGTATTTTGAGTTATTCTAATTGTATGATAATGACATGTCCAGATCTTTCAAAAAAAAAAAAAAAAAAAAAAAAAAAAAAAAAAAAAAAAAAAAAGTCAACCATTTGATTCAAAATGCGGCGTGCGCGTGTAACTTTTGTTGTCATGCGTTGTTTACTTTCGGTCTCATACGCGTGGTATTTTATTAACGTTTCTTTCGACCAATCGACATGAGTCCTTTTCTGAGCGTTGGACAAATTAGGTGATATCCACGGTTAATTTTTTTTCCTAATAAATTATTCATGCAATATTGGTTATTTGCTGGTCATACTGATGCCTATAAATGTATCAACCTCCCGTGACAATATCCCCAGAAAGCCTAGGGGAGATCTACGACCTCAATTAAATACACCATAATAGATCCGTCAAAATGTTTGCAGTTTGTCCATCTCTTTTTATATAAACTAGTACCTCAGTTTCTAAGATATTTCCGTATCAAACTTGGCACTTCGTCTCATTGTGTCCATTAAATGAAAAGAATATTTTTTTATTTTTATTTATTTTTTTTATTTACGCCATTACTTAAATGCCATCATTATCATCATCTTTTTCATCAACATAAACAGTTTATTTGGCATAAACTACACCATCGGCTGCTCTTGTACAAATCAGAAAATCATTCGACTAAGATTAACTAAAGATTTTTTTGCACTGCTTAAATATATTATTTACTTTGTTTAACATTCGTTTTATACTCATGTATGTATGTATGTATATATGTATGTATGTATGTAGGTATATATAGTAATTAGAGTATTTCTGTTAGTGTGGTTTCTAGGCGACAATTGAAATATCAGTTTAGTCCATTTAATTTAAATAATTTTATTATCAGTTGTATTTGCTGTCGCTCTACCTTTTTGCAGAAGGTTTTGATTTTTAGCATTTATTTTTTTATTTTTTTTTATAATTTTTTATAAAGATTTTGAATTTTTTATTGTATTTTTTTTTCTCTATACCTTTTATTTAAGTGAAAGTGTTTGTCTGTTTTGTTTGCTTTGTGTCACCTTATATTCCAAAATTATTTTAAATCTTCTGTTATATGTCTTATATAATATATTAATCTTAAAGTAATTACTTTTCAACATTGATTCATTTTATTTATTTATTTCTTTGTTTAATTTATATTTTTTTTTTCTTAATTTAAATTTATATTTTATTTTTTTAAGTTTTTTGTATTATTAAGCTTAATTTGTTTTAGTTTTATTTTTCCTTAATATTGATTTTTGTGTAGTATATTCCTGTAATTACGTACATTTATTTTTCTTAATTACTAATGCAATATTTATACATGGTTATTTATTGTTAAGTTTAATTTTAAGCCTAATTTTGTCTAACCATTTAAATTTTTTTCTTCATTTTAATTTTTTTGTTATTTATTTAATTTTTTTATTTCAAAATTCTTATTCAATAAATTGTTTTTTTTTTCTTAAAGTTTTTTTAAATTGTTTGATTTGCCTTTCCTCTAATTGTTATCCTTATATATATATCTAAGCTAATTCTTACATACCTTTTTGCATTTCTTGCTAAAGTTCACCAATAACTTACTATTTCATTATTTATTGACATTCGCTTAGCACTTGCACCTATATATTTTCAAATACCATCTATTTTTTTATTTAAAAACTAAATTTATTTGAAATAATATGTTTTTATTTATATTAAAGAAATTTTGTTATTCCATTTATTTTCCGTAGTTTTTTATTACTCTTTACAAATTATTATTTTATTATATTTTTGATTTGGTTTTGATTTTGCAGTCACTAAAAATAAAGTATTTTGCTCTTTGATTTTATTTACTTTTTTGATTTTTTTATTTCTCTAATAAGCATTGCATCCTTATTTTTAATTTAATTTTTTCTTTCCTTCAAAGGTTGTTCATCTCGTCGAGAATTACACTTCATGTTTTCTTCATTTTCTTTAATTTATAAACAAAAATTTATTAAGCTAAACAGGTTTGGTATTTAAACGCTTGTCCGGCTATAGTATGGGTGTTTTGAATTTAATACATTTTTCTTCAATATATTTTATATTATGTAAGCCAATTTCATTATTATTTTTTGTTTGTGTTCATTTAAAATCACTTCGTTCTTATATTTTATTTGTTTCATTTTACTTTAACTTTAATTCATTTACTCATTATATTCTTCTTTTTATTTCCGTTTTTTTTCTAAAATGTCTTATTATATGTTTATATATTATATTATTTTTTTATTTAATTATTTAATTATTATTTTTGTATTATTTTTGTTTTATTTTAATTATCATTTTTTATATTATTTTTTTTTTCAACGTAAATTAATTTTAGTCTATCTGATTCTTCTTTATTGTATTTGATTTTTATTTACTTTTAATAACCCCTTTTTATTTATTCTATTTTATTTCTTTATTTAATTAATTCAATTTTATTAAAATTTATTCTATTTTATTTAATTTTACTTAACTTTATTTTATTTTGTTTAATTAATATCTTTTATTTTATTTAAATCCAGTTAATTTAATTCAATTTTATTTTTTTTTCATTTTATTTTATTTATTTTAATTATCTTATTTATTAAATCCATTTAATTTTATTTGAACTATATTTTCTCTAATAATAGTACAATTTTAAATTTTCTTCTTATCATTCTGCTTCATTTGATTTTTTTATGTAATTCAAATTACTTTAATATTGTTCTATTTTAATTAATTTTATTTAACTTTCCTTTGGCTTATATAATTTCATTTTACTTTATTTAATTTTAATTTATTTTACTTGTTTTATTTTATTTTAGGGACTCTTTTTATTTTAGATATTTTATATTATTTAATTTAATTTCATTTATTTTACTTTAGTTTTATTTCATTAAATTTATTTTTTTCTTTTCTTTTTTGATTTGATTTCTTTTATTTTATTATATTTTATTCTATTTTAATTTTTTTAAATTTTATTTTAACTTTTTTTTACCTAATTTTATTGCATTTTATATTTCGTTATGTTTTAATTTTATTTTATTTCATTTTACTTTATTTTAATTTACTTTATTTTTTATTGTATTTTATATTTTATTATGTTTTTATTTAATTTTAATTTATTTACTTTATTTTATTTTATCTACTTTTATTTTATTTATTTCTTAGCAAAACATTATGTCTTTGGGCCGTAACTGTTATTAATTTTATTTATTTTATTTTATTTTACATTACTTTATTCTATTTTTATATTGTTTTTATTTCACTTTATATTTATTATTTTATTTTGTTTCATTTTTTTATTTAATTTAATTTTACTTTTTAGTTAATTTTATTATATTTTATATTTATTCTTCCTCTGTGTCATTTAATTTAAGTATCTTAGTTTATTTTCTTATATTTATTTAAACAACTATTATTATCACGATATTTTTTTTTTATTATTTATTCTTTTATGTTATTTTTTATATAATTTATTATTATTAGTATTATTTGGGTTTTTTTTTAATTTATTTTATTGTTTAGTTTTATAGCTTAATTTATACATTTGTTAAATTATTTTGATATATTTTAATTTAGTGGCATTTCATATAATTTATTTTCTTTTCCCTCAATATGTTTTTTGTAGTTCATTTTTTTTCTTTATTTATAAATTTTTTTTTTGTTATGGATTACATATTGTATTACTTTATTACATTTAAGTTAATTTTATTTTAATTATTTCGTTTTATTTTTGTAAAGTTGGTTTTATTTTTTTTTATTTATACAGTTACTAACTTAAATTATAAATTCAATTAAATGTAATAATTTTTTATTGTATTTCTTGTATTGATTAAATAAAGAATATTATTTTATTATTATTTCAAGCTTTTTTATTTTTTTATATTTTTACATGTTAAAAACTCTTATTACTTTAATTCATATCATTATTTTTTCTTTTGATTCCTTTTTTATATTTCTATGTTTTTTTTTAATTTTTTTTTGTTAGTGTAATTGAGCGTCTTTGCAGGATCCAGTGTTGCTTATTATTTGTATATTTCGTGTTAGAAAATTTATGTTCCTATATACAAAGTAGTGTTGTTGTATAATTTCATTATATACATTTTTCAAACCGATCTATTATTAAATTTTGTTTGTCAACAATATTTATTAGCAATATTAAATGCGCGAAAATAAATACGATTTATTTCAATAGTCGTTTTATATATTTTTAAAGAAATTTTCTTTACTTTATTACTGTAAAATAGGATAATTTTTGTGAGGAGTGAAATTTTCGTTATTAATTTCTTTAAAACCGCATTTTAAATTAAATTAAATTATTTTAAATTAGTTGTAGGCTCCATAGCATAACATAAAATATGGCTCGACGGTAGCGGTAGGATCTCAATTGATTTTTATATACAAAGAGCGCATTATTATTGTTGGTGTATAGAAATTGTCTTAAAATTTAATATGTGATTCCAACTTACTGATCTTACAGTTTCATAATTTATATATATATATTTTTTAAATGAGATCAAATTTAAAACATTGCTGCTAGATTGCAAGAAGCTATGCACAGAAACTTTTTCAGAATTTCAATTTCTACTATGACTTGAATGAAGAATTACATACTTTTATGTTAGTCTAGCAATATATGGCATAGCAACATAATTTATATAATACAATTTTTAACTAATCAAATTTAACTAAAGTGTAATTTATTAAGAAAAAAAATGATTGAAATTTAATTTCTTTATTGAGTGTTAACAAAATATAATAATAATTTAATAATGGTTTAAACTATTTTAAATTATATACTTTTGAAACTATATTTCATTGAAATGATTTTACTTAGCTAAAGTTGATTTTATTAAAACATTATAACTTATTTCTAGTTAAACGTTTTTTTTTAGCTCTTTTAACCGTAGTCTTTTTTACTTATTGTGCAGACATTAGTTAAAGCAATATTTACTCATACATAAGTACCCAACTGTATTTAACTATATAACATTTACTTATATTATATACAGTTACACATTTACATTACTTAATTTTCGCGAGACGTAACGCAAGCATACAGTAACACAAAATACACACACATATATTTACAAGCTTGAAATAAATCAAAAAATTACCAAAATGTAACTTTCTGCAGCAATATGAGACTGCAGTTTCTACTATGAGAGTAGTGAAACTGAAAGGAGAGACAAATTTCATTAATTTTGACATATTAACCTCAGTATGACGAGCAATGTTGTTGTATATCTATGTTTTTTTCAAACGCCAGCTAACCATTCAGTTATTGAATTATTCAAACGAAACACGAAATACAGTAATTCTGGTAAAAATTGAGAGATTACAAATATATAAACATATGTAAACACAAATCATATAAACTGCATGAAAAGCGTAAAGGTAAGGTAAAGCCTGCGTATAAGACGAAAATGTAGCTTCCTCTTGTTGGTATGTATTATTTTCGTCATATTTAAAGTTCTATATAAGCTTACACATACACCATCGTATATAGTTTCTTTAAGGATATAAGTATGAGCTTTTCGTTTACTTTTCGATAACTAACTTTTGACTTTAGTGAGCAGCATTTGAGAAATTCTGAAGGTATTTTGATTTTAACATCGCTACTTATGTATGTACAAATATTTATATGCTCGTGATTATTATTCTTAAATATGTAAAGTGATATTTGTGAGATTTCAAATATCTATAGTTAACCTGTTTAATTGCATCGAAAGAGTTGGTTCATACAAGTATGTAGCGACAATATGAGCAGCAATGTGAATGAAAACATTACTAGAAAACCATTGGAAAATAAATGCACTTTAAATAAAATAAAATAAAATAAAATAAAATAAAATAAAATAAAATAAAATAAAATAAAATAAAATAAAATAAAATAAAATAAAATAAAATAAAATAAAATAAAATAAAATAAAATAAAATAAAATAAAATAAAATAAAATAAAATAAAATAAAATAAAATAATATTAAATAAAATAAAATAAAATAAAATAAAATAAAATAAAGTAAAATAATATTAAATAAAATAAAATAAAATAAAAAATATATAAAAACAAAATGAATAAAAAGTTGAATAAGATAATATAAAATAAAACATAGAAAAACTAAAATAAAACTAGACGTGAAAATATCAGTGCAATGAAAGATATCACATTACAAAAGTTTGGCATTGAACAAGCAGGTAGAAAATGCCTACAATTGGAAAGCTCCAGGCCTTAATGGAATTTACAATTTCTGGATAAAAAGCCAAAGAGTAATCATGTTGTAATAGCCTATTATTTTTCTGCCTTCCTTCGTAATGATAAGTACCCGTTATTATGCTTAAATGACAAAATAGCCTCCATCCAAAACACGTAAAAAACAACTTGTGATCCCTCAAATTATCGTCCAATTACATGTCTTTGTGTTCTCTATAAACTATTAATGTCTTGCATAGCATCCAAAATTTATGAACAACTGCTACCTAAACCTAAACAAATGAGCTCGGTGAAGGGTTGAAATGGTTATGGCTAACAAGGATCAATATATACTTGATGCTCACGAAGATGACACCGAGCATACAATCTTTCAATGCATACGCTGGCAAGATGCGAGAATCAGACTTGAAAACACAGTTGCAGAACTAAGAGTAGATAATGCCGTCTCAATTATGCTACAAAGTGAAGAAAACTGGGTAAATGTAAATGAGTTCGCAGAAAAAGTACTAAGAGCGAAAAGCGGTTCCAGGGGGGCGACGGTTCCCTAGAGGAGAGTTTTTAGTGACCTGCAACTGGAATATACCATTGATGTGACGACGCAATGTTGATGCGGAAGGCATTTTTCTTCTCTTCACCCGCAAAAAAAAAAGAAAAAAATATGTACTTTATTTAGGTGAATTTTCAACAACGAAGAAATTTGATAAAAGACATACAAAAATTCTGCGGGCACTTTTACCAAGTTTCGCCTTCAAAATTTCTACAAATTAAATACTACTCTCAATAAATTGTATTGAAATTTTCAAAGAAAAACAAATGGTAGCTCTGCTGAGTTTTAAATATAAACTATTCACACCACTTTAACAACCAAAAATGCTTAACAGCTGTAGAGGGACGACAGTAGATTTGTACACCTAAATGATTACACAACAGATGGCAGCTCTGCTATTAGTAGATTCATAAAACGACGTGTTCTTTAAGCCTCACAAACACTTTAACCCTGTTAGCTAACAAAATTTGACCTCGGAAAAAATTCCAATCAAAAAATTTCATATAGAAATCGTATTTACTGGATTTTCCAGAAAAAAGAAGGAAACGCTGATATTTTTCAGCTCAAAAATATAGCAATTATTATGCATATTTTATCTCTTGGGTTTTGGAAAACGCATGTTTTTTTGTTTTTCTGCTCACAGGGTCCTTGAAATGATATGCAATTGGCTTTGAAAAAAATATTTCAAATGGTTGAACTTTTTATTTTGCTGCATTCCCTCTGAGTGCGCGCTGATTACAATGAAAACTTTAAACGCGTTTTTCTCGAAACTACATTTTTCAAACTGGGAGTACGGATTATTCGGACCATATTTGTTCGATTTATCTGAAGTTTTGATGGTGGCTCACAAATATAATTTTTTTTGGAAGTACATTGCCGTTTTTCGAATAAATGTAAACTTTTCTTTTAATAATTTAATTTTTAGTCAAAAATCAATCTTTTTAAATGAAAGTGTGCAGCTTTCACAAAAATTAGCTATAGAAATAACCGTACTTCCGAATATCACAGTTTGTAGATCATAAAACTGTTTACTTTTCTGTTTTATGTCTAATATTTTAGAAGAAATCGTTCCTCCCGTAGAGGCCTTTCAAAAAAACGTGGACTAAATAATGGACTTTATCACCGCCATTTTGTAGCAAAAAATAATTAATGTAACTTCAATATATTTACATATATATGATGAAATGTTTAAATAAAAATTCTATTCCTTTTCTCATATTCCCATAATAAATTTAAAAAAATGAGTCTATTTTTCAAGCTCTACAGCGGCCTTACCCCTTAAGAAAGTGAAAATGATATATATATGGATTTTTTTTTTATTGACTAAAATTTCATTTAACACGTTTTTTAACGAAAAATTTGCAAAAAAAAAAATTCATAAAAAAATATAAAAAAAAATTTTAAAAAAATTTGAAAAAAAAATTTAAAAAAAAATATTAAAAAAAAAAATTTAAAAAAAATTAAAAAAAAAAATTTACCAAAAAAGTGACATAAAATAAGTTTCAGCAAAGTTTTGTAAAATTATAAAGCGAAAAAATGAAAGTGCAGACATTTTCCTATGTAAAATTAATGAATATATTTAATGAACCAAAAAGCATATTTATTTACTTCGGTTAATTGTTTGCGATGAAATGACAAGAAATCATAAAGAAACCATAAATTATGGTCTGGTGTTCTGGTGTCGCTCATAAAAAGTTTTAATTTTGACATTTTGAATGTGCATGTTGTGTAAGTATTTAAGTACATATATACAGCGGTATTATTTACCACACTTTTAATTGTATTATTTTTATTATTATTTATTTATTTACTTTTTTTTTGAAAGCCTTACAACTACAACAATTATTTGCTTGTGAAGATTCTGATTTTAATATACGCTAAAATTCTTGTACATACGTGTATGTACGAGTATATACATACAAATATAGTACTTGCTTAGCACTGTACTTGGGCAGTGTCCTCGTTTAATTGCCAAGCGCTTGACCACCATGAACTGGCACACCAACATATATACATATATTTTAAATTCTATTTACTTTGTGAATCTTCTTTTTATGAGTATTTTTTTTCGTTTTATTCTTGTTGTTATTATCTTACTCATAATCTGCTTGCGTATTTCTGTTTGTTGTTGCTTAAAAATGTAATTTGCATTTAATTATTTTTAATTTATGTTTACTTATTTATTTATTGGTTTGTTTGTAGTTATTTACTTTATATGTATGTATGTAGTTAAATAGTTTAAATTTATTTTATCTTCTTTGGTCAATATATGTGGCAAATTTGTTGTTGCTGTTTTGCTGTTTTTGTTGTTGTGTTTTGTCTTTATTTTTGTCATCAAATATTTAAATTAATTTCATTATTATTATTTTCCACTGTTTACCTTTTAATTTTAATTTTATTTTTAATTATTTTTTTCATATACACACATACATATGTATGTATGTATGTGCATACATTATAACACAAATTTATACATATTTTTAATTATTTTAATTTTTGCTACAAACGAACAGTGAAATTGTTGATTTGTGTGTTGCAATTTCATTATTAAATTTAATTTGTTTTGCTGTTTTTTTGCAAACTAATTTTTTTCTTCTTCTTCTTCTATTTTTTCCACAATTAAATTTTGTGAGCAAAACCAATTTTCATTGTTTGCCAATGTGATTCGGTTTTTGTTGTGGTTTTCCATTGTAGCTAGTTTTTTTATTATTTGTTGTTGCCTTTGTTTTTGCATTCAATGAACAGTTTGCTCTATTTGTATATACGTATGTATGTATGTAGTTTGTATGCCGTTGTTAGCATTTAATAACGACAATTTTTGGGTTTTTGTTTTTTTTTTCTCTCTTTTTTGTTGCTTTTGTTATTGCTTTAGCAATAACTACCATTATTTACTTAGCAATTGTTGCAATTTATTTGCCATCAATTTACGTGCTACGATTTTGAGGTCACAGCTGACGCACTACTTGTCGCCCAGCTGCCGCCGCTACTGTCGTCACACCAATCATTATGTCACTGTGTTGAGGCACGCCCACCGCCAAGATGGCCAGCAATGCCATGCCGATAACCGCCGCCAGCACATCTATCCGTCGCTGTCTGCTGTTGAGATTGCTGCTGCCGCCGCCTGTAAGCGCCGAGTTGTCTGGATCGCCGCCATTGATGCGCTTTGAACCCTCCAAGCCGAGCAGATTGGGTGAGATGGTGGTGGGCGGCGTAACGCTGAGTAGTAAACGTTGTTGCACATTCTTATGGAACACATGCAATATGGAAACTTCGCAGAGCAACAATATGCTGGTGGTCTGGTATTTGGGCACGGTCTGGAAGAAGCCCTGCAACACTTGACTATGTGGATAGATTTCGAGGGAAGAGTATGTGGCGGAACCTTCGTGGGCGACATGACTGATGCGCTGGAAGGGAGTTTTGTAGATCTATTGCGAAAGTAGATTGAGGAAAAGAGAGAGAGTGAGAGAGGGAGAGAGAGAGTGGATAAAGAAATAATAGAAATTAATATTCTAAGCACTTAAAAAATTCACTTTTCACAAATCAAAAATGAAAACTCAACACGAGAGCATCTGCAAACTTGCCCTCACTCACCTTACGTCCATTCATGTACCAAGTTATGTTCGCCGGCGGATATGATGGTCCCACCGTGCACACAGCCTTGAAATTGTCATTCAGTGTAATGACCTTCTTATCCACCTGCATGGCTGGCTCATCTTTGGGCAGTTCGATGACCTGCATGTGTGCCGCACGTATGTCGGTGTGAAAGAGCGGCGCATCTTCGGACACTTCGCACTGGTAGTTGCCGGTTAGCTCGCGGTTGACACCCTTCAGTGTGACAGATGTGGCATCGGAATTTGTGAGCTACAACGAGAGTGGGAGAATGAAGGAAAAGTTGTAGAGGCGAAAGAGTTAATTATTTTCATCATCATCATCATCATCAAGTCCGTCTTTAAAGGGCGGTGTGGGTGTGTCTGTTGACAAAAGTTCCGCGTCTCTTGGCTGTTTGCCAAAGCACTTATAAAATAGTTTAATGAAAAGTTGTCGAAAAGTTATTACCAAGTCAGCAGAGGACGTTTTGGAAGTTATTAACCTTAGTTGCGGGTTAAAATGGTTGTTGGAGTTAATGAATTCCAAAATAAATTTGAAGGGTGTCATTGAGTTTGATTTATTTGTATATATGTATGTAAATGCAATACTATCTAAACTTATGTATAAAATATAAAATTTATCTGAATTTAGTAGATTTTATTCGAGAATTTTCAACCGCAAATATAACTTTTTACCATTTTAAAGGTTACCTCATTACCTTTTGTAGACACCTTTGTCTTATAGGCCAAGATTTAACAAGCTTCCCTTAAGGCTAATTCTCCACCAGCCCAATCATGCGAGGTGGACAGAAACAGTTGGTATGACTTGTTGGTCAAAGCTGGGTGCTTCTGGTCGATTGCTTCCTTCAGACGATCCAATTGCTGACCGTGCAGATCCGAGTTATGAATTTGGCCGTAGGTGAGTAGCTTATAACGGACGATTCTTTGGCAATACCACAAAGCAGACAATAAAATCTTCCTGGCAGCCAATTCTGGTTTGGTAAACATTTTTGTAGGCTCACTACTCCTCGATCCTGACCTTTTTTATTTGATGTTGCTATAAGAGGTCTAATTCGCTATTACAGAAATGTGAAATAGCGATTCAGTGGCGGTTCGCAGATGAAAATTTGGTTCATCAGAATTTTTCTCATTAACTTTTGCGGCCATTTGAACGATGTGTAGCTCCTGGACAATCGAAACAGTGCCGCCTGACGGTAAGACTCAACGTCTTTTATTAGTTCATCGATATTCCCAGCAATTGGCTATTTTTGAAAAACTGAGCTTTTACGGAAGACTTTTTGTCTTCAGATTATCAACGATGGAGAATACCATAGAAGATGAGGCAAAGGGCTTTACTAGATATATAGTGGAATTGGCATAGTTCAGTTGACTGGGTCATATCGTCCATATGAGAAAAAGACTCCAGTGGCCGAGTGCGTACTGCCATTCAAGATATTCGGGTTCAAATCCTGGTGTCGAACTACCTTCCAAATTGCGGTCACCTCTTGGCAGGGTATGCCAATCCCTCCGAGTGTACCTCTGACATGAAATAATGGCTCCTAATAAAAACAAACCATCAGCCGTTCGGCCGAAAATCATTTCAGTGGTTGCCAGGCGCAATTACATATATACTCCTTGGAGGAAGCAGAGAAAGGAGATGTCGAAATACCTTGCATACTATTGTTTATTCAGCTGTATTTCCCACAAAATTCTCACTTGAACGAAATCCAGCCAAGAGCCCCAACTAAGGCGGTAACCATTTCAAGGTTATCTGCGTGGATAAACGACTTTACATAACCTCACAAAAATCAATCCAGCGGTGTTGTATTACACGATCTTGGATGCCACGCGAGAGGCCCACAACGCAAGAAAACACATTTTTAAGATTTTCTCCCAAAGAATTTATAGTCCCGTTGTCTGTAATGCCGCCTTGTGGGACCAAAGATCGCCCACATCAACATGATCCAAATCAGGCATGAAAAAGTTATTTCCCATTCACGGTAACACTAAGGCTGGATGACAATGTCGTTGTTGTTGTTGTAGCGGTTTGCTCACTCCCACTTAGGGACAGCTTATAACAATCTAAATCGCCGTGGTCATCCAGTGGGAGGTCCAGGAAATGTGCCGTTTCGCCGAGTTTGGACCAGAGGAAGAGGGGGATTAAATGTGTCGGCTCAAAAGGGGCATATGAAGAGGTGTTTATTGTCGTGCGGAGACTCTCCACATGCAGGGCATACGTTGGGTATGCTGGGGTTGAGTCTGGATAGGTAAGAGTTTAGCTTGCTTGATGGTTTTTCTCTAAGTACGCCATTCACGGGAACGGAGTCTTTGAAGGTGTTGACTAACTCCTGGTGTATAGCGTTCAATGTCTGTATGTACGCCGTCCTGTCAAGCGGTTGTTGCACGTATTGCTGGGTGATGTTTTTCATGTCAAGTACTCCCTTTCTTATGTCCCTAGGTGGTGGTTCAGCTTCAATAAGATGCCTGTTGGGGGTTTCCCTATGGTAGCATCAGGAATTGCTTGCACAGCAAAGCAATGTGCTCTTAAACTAGTAGCATAGATGCTTCGCTGTGCAACTGATGCTTCGGCGACATCAGAAGGTTTCCTATTGCTTCCCTGAGGGCGGTGTTCTGGCAAGCCTGTAGCTTCTTCAACTGCGTTTCGTTCGTCCCCAGCGCCCAGATGGGTGCTGCATAGTTTACCACCGGTAAAAATGGCATGGGGAATATCATCACTCCAGATGATACAATTTTTGTCACTAAAGTATCCAGACAAAAAAGTGAACTTCATCGCTGAAGAAAATTTATTTGTGAAAATCCGATCGAGCGATGCGACTATTTAATTTGACTTAAATTCTTGTAAGCCAAGTGCTTTCCGAAAAATCCTCCATAAAATGGATGAACCTAGGTGCAATTGTTGTGCACGTTGCGGGATCAATTTCGATACTCTGCTTCACAGTTGGTCGAATCACCGACTCTGCTAGCCAGTCGACTGAATATTAGTCGCTGCGCGTCCACTATTTGGAAATGTTATTTCGTAGTAATGAAAAGGGCGAGCCAAGCTGAGGTGATAGCAGTCAAAGAGAACAACTCAAAAAATAGTTATCTTCTTCTCTTCTTTATTGGCGTAGACACCGCTTATGCGATTATAGCCGAATTAATAACATTGCGCCATTCATTCACCAAGTACAGTCTTCTCTACCTGGTCTTTCCAACGGTATAGAGGTCTTCCTCTGCAATGGGTACTGCATCGAAAACTTTTAAAGTTGGAGTATTCTATCCATTTAATTTAGCAAGTCACTGCTCCTTCATTGAACTACGTCAATGTTGCAGTTCCCCACTCGTAGAGGAACATAAATCTTACGCCAACCCCTTTTCTCGAAAACTCTTAAGGCCCACTCATCAGATATTGCCATCGTTCATGCCGCCGCAACAGATAGCAGGACGGTAGTGATGAGTGACTTGTAAAATTTGGTTTTTTCTTTTCGAGTGAGGACTTTACTTTTCAATTGCCTACTCAGTCCAAAGTAGCAGCTGTTGGCGAGAGTGTTTCTGCATTGGGTTTCCAGGCTGACAGTGTTGTTGGTGTTAATATTGGTTCGTCTCTTCATAGGTCACTAACTTATGCAAGCTGTACGCTTCCTTGTGCAATCTGGGGGCTGGGGAAATCGGAACGCACGACGCGTCTGTTGGGGCCAATGATGTATTTGCTTTAATGATTACAAAGCGCTAAATATACATTTTCGATTACATATTGTATATTATTAATTTTTTCCGAATAAACCGATGAAAATTTTTATTTATTTTTTTTTTTGAGCTGGCATATGGTCTCTTAAGGACACATTCCAGGACTATTAAAATATCTTTATCATATTTTACAATTTGTCTGCACATAAAGTATGAATAAATATCTATATACTCATATATGCATATGTACATATGTACATCTATGTGTACATAGGTATATAAGTGCTGCCATCTGGTGTTTATTCTTTTTTTTAATTACAATTTCAGTTGCCGCAAGCTACGGGTAACTGAATGTGACAGGACCTCATGGTTTCCAATTACATACAAACCTACGAGTTAAACGAGTGAAAGCTTACATAGTCAGAAAATGCATATGTATGTATGTATTGTAGTATATAAGCATATAATTTCACACTTAATAGACAAATGCGCAGCTGACGGCGCTTCGTGTGTGTTTGTCGATGGCGACCAATCGATGGTGGCTGTGTTCGATGCCCAGCGATATAAAAAATTATTACAAGTCTTTTTAGTTATTTTTTATGAAAGAAAAAAATTTTATTTTTCCACGCAGAATATGCAAGTCACGTCGCTTTTCGTTCGTTCTTAAATGATTTGGAGCATAAATCTGGGACAAACTCAAAGGAAAATCGGCCTAAAATTCTGATTGGAAAGAAATATTTCCACACATGTGCAGTAGTTAAATTGTTTAAATTTAAGCTGTAGCTTGCAAACAACAACAGCACCCACAGCGCAAGACAACACATGTCGCACAAGAAATTACTGCAATAATAATAATAATAATCATTTTACAATAATAGTGTTATTAATGTGCGGTCACAACGGAAATATGCTGGAAGCCAAATTGACATTGCTTTCACCTCACACCGCAACAGCTCTGCTCCTGCTGTTATTGTCTTTTGCCATGAGGCATTGGAAGGACAACAAAGACGTAAGAACATCATTGTGCCAATTGAAAGACTACATATATACCTACCTATATGTATATGTAAATAGTAGAATAGTATGTGTGTGTTGGTTTGTGTGTGTGTGTGTAAATAAAACAACTGGTGAAATAACAACAATAGTTGTAATTGGTGAATTTTATGCCTGCCAGTTGTTGATATTTGCCAATTTTCCTGTTCAACTTAATTGAGTTGAAATTTAAATTAACAATGCATTTGTTATTGTTGCATGCTTGCTTTCTTCTTTCTTTCTTGCTTTCTTTCTCTATTTCTTACATTCTGGCAAGCTTATCGTTATTCTTAAAATGGCGCAAAAGAAATATGGTAATTATTAATATTGACATAAATTCATTTGCAGTTGATTAATTAATTTATGGGCAAAGGAAGAAACAGCAAGTAAGGCTTAAATCGAATACAGACATGCATACATAAATTACACACATATTGGATGAGTGCATAAGTTCGTGCCCGATTCCGCTGGATGCCGTTCGAATCGTTTGAGAGTGGCGCTCGTCGAACTGTAAATCAAGCATAAAATAACTTCATTTTGATTTGAGTTGCTTAG